GCTTTCAATACCATTTTTCACATCACTTACGTTTGCTCCTGTTGCACACTCAACAATAATGGAGCCATCTTTACCATTTCTAAAATTACTGATTTTGTGTGTTTTTGGATCCAACTGAGTTTTTAAAAACTTACGAGTATCTTCGCAAGGTTGTTTGGACTCTTTCGGTTTAATCACAATGACTGGACGAGTCTTACGATTTTCTGGTTTGTTACTTTTACTATTACTGTTACTATTAGTTTTACTTTGACTAATACGACTATGTCTTTTTACAACATCCGCAAAACTCGCATTTTCTTGAAAAACAACATCATCATCATGATCACTATTACTAATTACTAATTTACGTTTTTTGCGTCTGGTATTTTTGTCCGATTCCGACTGAATCGTCCTAGATGAACTGCACGGATCATTCTTTACAGCTAATTGATTTTCCGCATCAATTTTAAAAAATGAACTTTTCATATTATCCAATTTCTCACAAATCAAATTTTCAAGACCATTTACATTTATTCTAATATCTGCCATCCCGCTTTTAACCGCGATGTCCACCTGAGCAGCAATGTGATCTCGCATGCCAGTGATCGAGTCCGAGAGTTGAAAAACCTTCTTCATCTCTTCCTCTATCCTTTTGACGCGCGAGATCAGATCATTCTGCTCGTCACAACTCTGATCTGATAGACAACTATCACACTTGAACAGAATATTTGCATTATCTGCTATAAGCCTGGCCGCAGTCTTAGTGAGTGCCGCACAAGCGAAATGGAACGTTCCATTGCACGGACCTACACACGTAACTGGGAGCCCACTCATAGCAATAGACTGCTCGCATACATTACACACATCCATTCTACCAAATTAAACGCTAACACTGTTAGCAGCAGACATATACAGGGGAGGAGAACACAAAATAAAATTTTACCGCCACAGCTCACTATACAAATCAATAGCGCGCCGGGGGGAAAATACAAAATTAAACAAAAACTAGTTGCTAGGCAACCTTTCCTCTACTTATCCTGTTAGAAAAACACCACGGGCACGCGTTGGAATAATCCTTTCGCGGCACACGCCACTATTTCACACGAAATTATTAATTTATTTTCACAGCACAACTCAACAAAAACACTACTTTGTACGCCATACTACTAGGTTTAAGGTATTTCCAAAGATTTCTTCACTTTGTACACTTTCACCAGAATTTCCGAAAAGGATGGGCATAATAAGTTGAGATTGATTTATTTCATTTTGGCTGAGCTTTTCATGCTATTGAAATTTTGATAGCCGCATTCTGTTTATGTGAAGAAATTGTTGGAAGTTTCCCTTATACTCTACAGGTGTTGGATTCTCTGGTTGGTAAGATGACGGCGATAGGATTCCACGTCGTCAGATTCCGCCTGTTTTGGTACACCATATTCTTCATGCACCTCGAAAAAGATTTTTCGAAGTTCCTCCGCTGAGGCCGGTATTCCTTCGGATGCCAAATTAATGTTGATGCTGGTATTCGTCATTCCTTCATGGCAAAACGATGGCTCCTTGTCATGCATATATGCCAAATATAGGCGAACGATGTATATTATGTTAGTGTCCCGTAGTCGTGCTTTCAGGAAACGATGAGTAGGCGCAGTGTAGTAGAAGGGCAATCACGCTTACCACTACACCACTTTTCTGAAGAATGTAAGCACCTATAACTTTAAATAAAATAGTTCGATATCTGATTTAAGATAAAATGAAGACCATATTAATCATATTTTTTTTTATAAAAAGCCAATTTAATTACAAACAACTTCTACGAAGACGCTAAGGGGGTGGTTCTCATGCCATTTTTTTGTTTCAAAAGCTGTATCGTTTTTCGATATTCATAACTGTATCGTTTTTCGATATTCATATTAAAAGTTGAATTTTGCGTTTTTCCCAATCATTTCGGCCATACGTTCGTACTGCAAACAGAAATTCAAGCTGAGGTTGTTGAATCGTAGAGATCCAAGCACCACATAAATAATTTATTCCCGTTAAACTGCCGTTTAGATCCACAGTGCACAGGTCTAACATCATTTGTCCAAAATTCTAAAGTAGTGTTTTCGTTTAAAACCAAAGTTCTGTTAAGAAAAATGTGTGGTGAGTATTTCGCTTGACAAGTAGAATACATTGAATTTGATGAGTAGAATGTTGCTTTTAAACAAATAAACTGCTGTTGAATTTAAAAAAAACTGCGTCCTGTTGATGTACCTTTAACAGAGTTGTTTACGCTATCTTAGGAATTTAAAAAATATTTTTAATTTTGATCTTACAACATGGTGCATTGATTTTATGGCGTGATTAGTAGCCATATCGATTGCAGTAATGTGCTTCAGAACTTCAATATCCACGCTCCCATCCGCCAACTCCGCAACATTTACTTTTTGCGGAATCCCGGACACCGCACCTAGTGTAGAAGACTAGTTTTAAAGAATAGAATTAAGTATTTTTAAACAGGCTATTCTTTTAAAGATTATGAACAAATTTATAAAATAAATTGCAAAGAAATCCATGAGAATATTGACTTCAAAAAGCCTAACAATTAACCCGTTACTCAAGGGCCGCGGATAAGGAAATTCGCCATTCCGGCGGCTGCAAGATCATTAGCCAATCACCTTGCACCGGCATAAACCAGACCTTTGCTCGGTTGGCCGTGTGTACGGCTTTGGCCATTCTGGTGGAATTTCAACACTCGTTGCCGCGGATGGCTGACTGCAGTGCAGAGCTGTGGAAAAGTGGTGCACTCTAATTAGACGTTTTCTCGTCGTTTCCATTTTGAGTGTGTAGGCTAGTTAGACCACAAACTGACTGTTGCTTTGACTTTTGGACATTCGACAATATGATTAGATTAAACGGTTTCAAAGTGAGCCATCATTATTGATTTGACTGCCATCGGAATTAGGATTACATTTGGATTTTACAGCAATTATCGGACCTTCCGATAGCTGCACCTCTAGAGTGACTTCGGGTTCTAATTCTGAGTCAGTCAAAGGTATTTTAGAGTTGAAAACGTTCTGTGGAAAAGTGGATATTATTACTTTGGATGATTGTCAGGGGATCTAAATAATTAAAAACAGTCCCTTATATATGTTGTGGTGTAACGTTTTATTGATTGATATCTCAATAGAAATTTATTGTTATATGAAACGACAGAACTGACTTTTAATAAAATTGACAATTAAAAAAAAATCGGCACAAATATCAAACAAATAGGTTGAAAAATGGTGAGTTGAATTTACACAAATAAATATATAATAAAAATCATTCAGTCAATCAGATTTTCATCTGTGAAACTTAGATCGTGTTTTGTAGAGTTCACTGTTTTTTTATTTTTCATTTTGAAAGGTTGCACGTTGCATTTCTATTTTGACACATATCAGAAGAGTATAAAGCACATGGAAACATATTTATAACAGCAGCTATTGGATCTGTGAGTAATCCATGCTTACATAACAAACTTCGATTGCAGTTGAATAACTCTCTGCACTGCCAATCCTTTAGACAACGACATTCCATTCTAACCATTTCTGTGACACACGCGCTCTTGTCATTGCTGTGAAATCAATATGATATATTAAACTCGTTTCGCGTTCTGTTTGTATTCTACGTCATTCATGCAATGCTTAGAATACAGGAGCATGATTTAATTAAACCACTTTTTAGCGAGTGGGTAATTTTTCTGGTTCATTTTCTACGCCGAAACTGGTCCATTCGACAGTCGGCCCACATTCGAGACATGCTTTCAGCCATGCTTACCTCTGTTCTGTCCAGGGTTGCCACATATATAAATATTCTGTATTTTACCGATTTTCTTGATAATTTCTTGAGCAACAATCTGTGCGTAACGGATTTTTGTAAAAGTGCAGATTATACATATTTTTTCGCGAATCTAAATTAATTTCCGGATTGATTTGAAGCAGGGAAAATGGATGTAATGTCGACCCCTAATGCCCCTAATTTTGGCCCATTAATAAATTCAACAATCCACTATGTTTTCAAAAGCGACCAAAAATATCCATTAGTTACCGTCCCAATGTTGCGTTCATCTAGATAAAATTGATAAACTGCAGATTTTTAGCGATGGGTCCAATCTTAGATACATAGGCCAAGCCATTTCCCCTATATTACGATTTGAGTTTTAATTTGCCATGCATTTTACTTCGAGTGTACTTTTTTAATTTCTGTATTTTTTTCTGATTGTTCTCATGTTTTTCAAATTCATTTAACGTTCACTGGGTTAATATTTTTTAAATAGCTTTTTTATAATAGCTATTTACCACAATTATGCAACTAAAATACAGAATGTGCCAAATGCATTTTAAATCGTTTTCGCAGATAAATGTGATGCACAATTTATTCAATATCGCTCGCTAGATGAAAGTTAACCCCTTGTACACATTTATCTAGACATTTTCCAGTAAAGGAACATTGAGTGTTCGCGAATTACTGTCAATTCAGAGAGAAAATAGCATCCTGCATCGAATAGTTCGACACATGCAGCGTTAATAGCATGATGTAATTTTAAATGCTTATTTTTCGTTTGAATTGGCAATATATGCTCCAGAAAGTAACGACACGGTTTAATTTACATTTATCGACATTTCCTTCAAAAACGCATTTTGCTATGAAATTTTAGATCATCAGATGATACACATTTTTAGAGCAGATGTTATTCCTGGCGATACAGATTTTTTCACTAAAAAATACAAATTTAAAGGTGGCAACCCTGATTTTGTCTGCGGTAGTTCAAAGTTGCGGCAATCCACTAGGGAGAGTCAATTGAACTGCAAGCCAATCAGCTGTTCAGTGTCTCCAATGAGTTACTACTGCCTTTAACCGCTTCTGCTGGTTCGGAGCGTTAAACAGGTATTTTCATTCACAACTAACTGCATCTTGGCTGACCGGTGTAGAGACGTCCGAACACAAGAAGTGCAACTTGGTGCAATTGAACTCGCTCTCAGAACCTGTTATGTGGCGCGGTTGGTGCTTTTCAGAAGACGAAAAACAAATCTCTAGCTACACGTGGTGGGAAGAAATGCAACCGTCAGCATGCACGGATGGAAAAGAAAAATGTAACATACCTTTGAACCGACTTTTTCCATGTTGGTACAGAAGGGGCTGGCCGGTCCTCCCCAGAACGTTTTGTTTGACACCGTCTCGCGGAGTGTATTTATAAGACTGTCTTAGAAGATCTGAACTCATACCAAACATACAGCTCGTCAAGGTATACTAACTTACAAGAATCTGTAAATCTACGTGGCTTGAAAAAGCTTCTTCAGTGTCGGATAGTGCGTGCGTGAAAACAGTGCCGTTGGAGGACCTCACAATGATCGGAAAGGTGACTTTCGCTTGCAATGGTATTATTAAGGCAGTGGATATTCCAACAGTTCAGATGGTGTTTTGTTGCGTGTGATCTCAAATTGTATTCAAATTTTGTTCAACTTGTTTCAAAGAGTCAGAAAAAAAAAATCAAAAAACAAAAACTATATATATGGTGGGATAACAATTTCTGTTCCTAATTAGGACAAAACCGAAAAATCGTGTTAAAACAGAATTGAGTGTATTTGAAAATGTTTAAAAAATAATACGTTTATTTCAAAATGGAAATTAACATTTCCTATCTTTTTTAAAAATTTGTCTGTCTATCCAAAATTGCATGAAATAGCTAGAATCATCGCAAGAAACCGATTGATTTTTTGGAAAAATGTTCCCAGACACGAAGAATGCTCATTCTAAATTTAATGCATCATGAGCTTTGGGGGATATTTTTTTTTACCATCGGACAGGTTTGGGTCGAAGCGTCTGAGAATTTTAGGAGATTTTTCCATCTGGTAGAGGTTATCATTATAAGAACGAAAATAATTTTAAAATTTTTGAAACGATACTTGAAGGCAAGAACATGTGTTTGGGTGGTGAGATATGTTGCGAACCATTTTCGCAACATATTTCACCACCCAAACACATTAGCTTGCAATATTTAAAAAAAAATCGGTGTGGTTTATTTTCCAGAAAGATTTAAGCTGATTTCTTTTATTTTGATAAGAAAACCTTTCTGCTAATAGTGGACAGTCATTCCAAATGGCTTGAGGTAGAATCAATGCGGTATGGACAAATGTTAAAGCGGTAATTAAAAAATCCTTTCCTGTTTTTGCTCGTTTTGGTCTACCAGATGTGGTAGTAACAGATAGAGGTCCTCCATTTCACTCTATAGAGTTTGTTAAATTCTTAGAGCGCCAAAGAACTAAAGTTCTTAAAAGTCCACCGTATAACCCAGCAAGCAATGGTCAAGCAGAAAGGCTGGTGAGAGTTATCAAGGATGTTTAAAAAAACCTGTTTGATGAAAAGACAAGGTCTTTAAATATAGAAGACCGATTGAATTTTTTTAATCAACTATAGAAATAGTTATCTTGGTACGGAAGGGAAGTTTCCTTCAAAAAGAATGTTTTTGTACAATATCTTTTTAATCATTGAATACACTCTTAATGTTATTGAATCGAAACTGGGTTACTACAAGTGCATTAAACTCTCATTACGCTGCTTTTACTGTATTTGTTTATTTTTGTGCCTTTAAAAATAACATGAGATTTCCGACATGATTGAAGTGCATTCTCTTGGATATAATATAAAAATTTATTTTTTGCTGTGTAGTGTTAGTTTGCGTGTGGTGGGACAAGCCTGCGTAGTGGTAGCATCCATGCCTCACACGCAGCAGTTCATGAGTTCAAATCTCTTCCGCGGACAAGTCACAAACAACCTAAAATGAAAACTATGAGTACCGAAAATTTGACGTTTGAAGTCATTGTTTGTAAAGGTACTTGAAAGTATTTTATCATTAATGCTAGATTTTTGAATCCACCATTTATGCTCATCTCAATAATTGCTTTTCAATTCGTTATACCAAAATACTGGCATTTAAGCCTTTTAAAACCGGTCTTTCGCTATTCAGTATTTCGGCCGGTATTACCGGTTTTCGCTATCGGTACAACCGGTATTGAAACCCCTTATTGAAGAGTTGCTTCGATTGAAAGATCTGTTGAATAGATTAATATTTTGAAATAAATGCACTTATAAGCGTTCAGTTATTCCCATTTGAGAAATAATGGTACACAACCGTTTTAATAAAATAAAAGGATATTGATAGAAAAATTAGGGTTAAATTATTTATTTAATCATGGCCTTTTTTCGATTAGAAAAATATAAAATCACAATGCAAAATACATTCAACAACAAATTTTAGTCCCAAAATTTCTAATAACAGAAAATGCTCACTTTGAATTTACTCAAGTAGACCAATGTATACTTAGTGCTTCGATAAGCATAGTCAAATACTTTCCTTTCAATCCATAAGTTTCGAAGCATTTGAACTCATTTAGCATAGATAAAAAAATCCAGGCATCATCAAAACTGCAGCAAAATTTAAAATGAGTATTACCAAAAACAAACTGGTATTTTCAAATGCCAGTAAGGGTAAGTGAACCAGTTTTTGACAAAAGAGGTTTCCTCACTCTATTTTTTACCATATATATATATCCATGCAGGGTAAGAACATAGATTTTATTCTTTGTTTGATATGTGTACGCGAATGAAGTGAAAATTTATGTCAAATTTTAGGGCGAAAAAATAAAAGACTAGTGCCTGTCGATATTTAGGTGCCGAAAAATTACCCAGTTTTGCCGGTACTACTGGTAACACAAGCAGTAAAATTTCATGTTCTGATGCAGTTTTATACTTTTTAAGAAGGCTCCCCTTCTTTTTAGTCAACTTTCCACATTTTTTTAAATTTAAATGGTTGTTCTTTCACCGAGTCAACACCGACCAGAATTACTTCCATTTATTTTGTATATATTTTTTATTGTATTATGGAATCATAAGATTAAAAGAAAATAAGCAATAAGATTTTAAAATAATATTTTATATTTGTAAGTAATAATAAGACGTTGTATGGAATGTGTTGTATACATAAAACCTGGTAATTTTGCGTTCAAAGAGTCGCAATCAGCGATTTTAGCTCTTCGCGAAGAATGAAGAACGAAGAAAAATAGAATAGAGAGAAAAATATAAAATCGCTTATTACGACTATCATAAAACGAAATTGGCAGGTTTTATGTGTCAAACACAAACTTAACCTTTTCTTGTTACTTACAAATACAAAATATCATCATCATAAACATCCCATTTTTTTAATGCATGTAGTAATCCTGAACATCGATACACACTTTTCTGCATAAACAGCTGCTACCCTGTTGGAATATTATTATTGCTAAATGATCGTAGTCTAAGTTCTGTATTGGACATTTTTTCATTAACCACTAGGTGCTAGTACTCGCAGCTACATTTGCCGTAGCAGTCGCAGCTCCTGTTTACGGACCAATCTCTTACGGTCCAGCACTATCGTACGGTTATGCAGCCAAAGCTATTCAACCTCTACACACAGTGACGTTAGCCAAACCAGTAGTAGCAGCAGCCCCATTCATCCACCATGCTCCGGTGTTTGCACATGGTCCAGTTGTGGCACCAGTTGTCAAGCACGTCGAAGCTTTCGATCCAAACCCACACTACAGCTTCAGTTACGGAGTAGCCGATCCTCATACCGGTGATTCCAAGCATGCTGAGGAACACCTGGAAAACGGAGTAGTGCACGGAAGCTACTCTCTGACCGAACCCGATGGTACCATCCGCAAGGTTACCTACACCGCCGACAAGGTCCACGGATTCAATGCAGTCGTAGAAAAATCTGGCCAGGCTGTCCATGCGGCGCCAGTTTTCAAGAAGGTCTTAGCTCCAATCGTGCATGCGGCTCCAGTCGTGCACTACCACCATTAAATACCGTTGGCCGAAACCGAAACTGCCTTTTAACTCAAGTTGTATGATATGTTTATTTAGTATGTAAGAGTAGCGAATAAGTAAAATAAATGGAAGCAGTTTGTCTTCGTACAAATGGAGGCAGTAAAATTGAACAACAATCAATAAAATTCGATTGCCAGCGTCTTGAAAAACAATGCAGTTGCATTTCTCGCATGAGCAAAAGATGTATCTGTCCTCTTTCTTCTCAATAAAAAAAAAGATTTTATAGATAACAGAAATCGCCGTTCAACCCGTGTCAATACAACTAATCTACCAACCCCCGAGCACGCGTCATGCGATAGCATGTTGTTCACGTCTTCGGTTAGCATTGCATCAAGCGACGCAAGTAGAATACGTTATTGTTGTTGATTTCTGTGTTAAACAAGCCTCCCTTGTACCTATATCACCTGGAATAACCATTTTAATGGAAAGGTCTTGATGCGTATGCTGTAATAATTACTAAATCATTATGCTTAAGGTTTCACCGGGGCGTCCAACTGAAAACAATTTGCAGACATAATTTGTTGTTGACAAGATGAAGCCTTACAACATTGCATCTCCCAGCAGCATGATCAATCCTAATTGATAGCTTGCCAATGACAAGTGGGGCATTCAGTGGCGTTAATTAAGTCCAATCGGTTAATCTAACCGAACTCAATGCTTATGTGCGGGCGTAAATCATTTACTCGAAACATTCTGTTAGAAAATACTCTCTCTGTTTGAGTCATTTCGCGCAATTGAAATTTATACATGTGCCTTCGTTGTCAAGTGCGCTGGCCAAGAAATGTCCCTCCTTCAGCCACACCGTGCCTGACGGCCAGCATGACCAACCAATCTGGGTCACTTGCCTTTGGATTTGGTTTCTATTTGTCATGTCACCGCACCGGTCTGCGCCTTGTCAGTGCTGACTGAAAGCAATCGCATTTTCTACCAACTTGCTGAGAATTCCGTATGCATCGATTTAAATTCATTACGATTCGAATGGTATTCATCGGTTGCGAAGGTATACATACATTACAATTCACTTTCGTTGACTGGGAACGTGACATGCAATACTGTCGGACATACGGAATATGGAAGACAATGGTTGAAAACTCACGTTGACTCAGTTCTATGAAAAAATAGACGGTTTATCGAGCATTCATGTTAGTATGATGGGTACCTCTTTCTCTGTCTTACATTTGCAAGGCAAACATAGGAGTTTTTATGTTTCCTAGAATTATGAAAGATGCCGTTAGGCAACTTTCCAAAAGATAAACTGTTGTTCTCAAATCATACGTGATTTAAATTAATGGCATTAGGACATGAAGGGATGGTTTCAGGAATAATATTACATCAGCTTTCAAATTCTATAAACGTGCGTTTTACATCAAAAGAAACATGGTTCTCGGGGAAATTTCCAAAAACATTAAATTATAGTTTAACATAAACACATACAATAAGCCTTATTCTCAGAGACCATTGACCCCTGGCTGTCTGAATTTTTCACCAAAAACTGATGTGACCTTCACTCCCTCGCTTACGTATTGACAGAAGCACCTGTATCTGACATAGGAGACTTCCAATGTGAATGTTTAACCTTGAAGATGGATAACATTCCTCTGATAATATCCTTCTTCAGTGTATGTATTTAAATCGTCGGTGTTCACAATTCGATAGTGGTGGTTCGTGGGGTGGATTTTCATTGCGAATTGGTGATTTTTATTTTTGGTATATAAACGCTTGACAGCCAGTGATAGGTATGTCAGTTAGCTCTTCACTTTTCGTTTGAACAGTGTGAAATACCCTTTTCTAAGCTTTACAATGAGTTTGCTTAAAGTAAGTATATTTGGATAGTGTGTTTAGAACATTTCAGTGATTTTAAAGTGCAATAGTTAATCGAGTGCATTGATTTGAATTTTTAGGTTGCCGTTTTCGCCGCACTAGCTCTGTGTGCTAGCGCCGATCCTAAACCAAACCCGGGAGTCCTGGCCGCTCCAGTAGCTCCAGTGGCTTACTCAGCTCCATTTGTTCAGGCTCCATTCTATGCTAGGGCTTATGCTTCACCATTCGCCTATGCCGCTCCAGTTGCCGCTGCTTACACCGCTCGTGCAGCCCCAGTTGTTGCTGCTTATAGCGCTCCAATCATCGCTGCTCGTGCTGCCCCAGTCATTGCTGCTCGTGCTGCCCCAGTCGTTGCCGCTGCTGCCCCAATTGTTGCTGCTCGTGCTGCCCAAGTGGTTGCTGCTCCCGTTCAGGCTGAGTTCACCGATGCTTACCCACAGTACCAGTATGCTTACAACGTTCAGGATACTCTGACCGGTGACTCCAAGACTCAGGAAGAGACTCGTGATGGCGATGTTGTCAAGGGATCGTACTCCCTGATCGAACCTGACGGCAGCCGTCGTATTGTCAACTACTACGCTGACCCAATCAACGGATTCAACGCTGTTGTGCAGAAGGATGTCCCAGTTGCCGTTGCCACCCCAGCCGTTGCTGTGGCCGCCAAGACCGTTCTTGTTTAAACAGATAGCACGTCTCCGTTGTAGCGATGATTAGAATCTGTCTAAATATGCTGTGTATATAGGATCAATTCCCGAGTGTAAATAGTCATTAGGACTCCAGCGACACAATTGTGCAACTTTAAGCAATCACTCATCTGTACATAATTTCCACTGTAAAACGAATTGCTAAAAGACATGCACTTTGTATAGCATTGTTTTAGGTAATAAATTCAAAACAAAAACGCTTATTATATAAAAACCTGCTTGTTTACTTATCTATTCTTTCTCCTTTCAACCCTTGTTCCACAAAAGATTAGAAGGTTTTTTTTCTGGCATCACATATAATAGGAAGAAATGGTGTAAAACGCACCGGCGGGCTAAGATTTATTCAACGATTTGTAAGAGTTTTAACAGGCAAAATAAGAGCATTCTTAACATGTAATATATGAATCAACCAGGTTTTTGATCTGTGTGAAAACAGAATGTTTTTCGATCACAAATTACTGAATACAATTTTAATGTACAAAGCTCTGAATTGAGGGTGGGTCAATATGCGCTGTGTTGTTTTGGGAGCCCCTAAATAGCCTTTGACTATTAAACGAAAAATAACAGTCTGCGACAATCTCAACATGTAGCAAACAATTTACTACAAAGTAGTCCGTCTGTCAAAGTGGGTTGGTGAAGCAAAGCAACGCACGTATCATATTTTGACAGCCAGCTTTTCAATAGCGTTTTCGTCAATGAGAATCGAGAAATGTTGCATGTCAGTTGTCACGTGATACTGGTCAAATGATGCAACACTGGGTTATCCTGGAATCACTAATATCATTTAGCGGCGCCGGTGGTGTAGTGGTAAGCGTGATTACCTCTCACTCCAGCAGGCCTGGGTTCAATCCAAGTCGGCGCCGCCGGGATGTTCTGAGGCATAACATCTCTGATCACGCCTTCCTTCGGGAAGTAAAGCCGTTGGTCCCCGGTTCATGAGTTTGATGGGTCGATAGGTAGGGTCCAGGTGTGGGAGCTGCCTCCCTGGCGTCGGTAGTATTGGTGCTCAGCACGGAAAACAAGATCGACGGAAAACAAATCAAAGGAAAAAAAAACTAATATCATTTGACCAATACAATACATTACGATATCTGGCCCAGAGCAACAGAGAGCTAGGAGCTGATGAAAGCTAAGTGAAAATATACCACACTAGCACTAACACAAACATCATACAAAATACATTTGTAACACTAACACTGATGGTGACACGAATGCAATGAATCAAACATTTAGCTAGGGCCTCGAATAATTAAGATCATAAACTTGGAAAACTGGGAAATAATTCAGGATTTATGGATTTTTAAGATCTTAGATTTAAATTTTCAACATCCGGCACAGAAAAAAAAATGACTCAAGGATTACCGATTTAAATACTCTAGAACAGGAAATTTACATCGAGATCTCATGCTTGGACCAATTTTCTTGATCTCGAAATAAAAATTCCTTATGTTTGAGTCATGAAAACAATAGTAAACGTTCTTTGACATTAAAAAGTTACGAGATCTCTTATTATGAAAAATGGTCATGCTCTGAATACAGAAAATAATAATCAAGAACCACATCTTTTCAAGAATTTAGGTCATGACAAGGTATCAAGATTTCCAAAAGAAAGAAACCTCACAACAAATATTAAACATGTCGGGCTCCCCAATTTTACTATTAGTTTTTAAAGCATCTGAGACTTTGAAACTTTTAAAAATTCTGTTGACATTTTTCAAGCTCGATAATTAAAAAAATTAAAGTCAATTCCTTCTTCTTCTTTTTATTCTTCGCATTTCAAGCTTATTGCTTATTGCATATTAGCAAAGACATCATATCATACCTGTACCATTTTTGCATTAGTATAATTGTGTGGCAATTCCCAGGGAAGTCGCAAAATTTTCCAATCCTAAAAATTCCTAGACCGGACCGGAAGTTGAACTCATTCATCTCCACCATGGTCTGCAGGAGAAAATAACTAATGAATACCTAATTCTGATCTGATACCAAAATTTGGTATTGACCAGCATGACATAAGAGGTAAAATATCAAAGAATAATACCAAAAAATTACATGGAAAATACTTTGTAAATACCAAAAATTGATATTTGAATACCAAAAACATACCTGGGTGGTATTGTTTTGGTATTGCATTATCATAATTTGGTATTGGACTTGTATTGTGGGAACATTTTTTTGGTATTATTTTTTGGTATTTTACCTCTTATGTCAGGCTCATCCATACCAATTTAAGGTATAGAGATATTCGTTCCTGCTCGGGTACAAACGAGAGGTTTGCGTATTTGAGCATTTTTTATCCAGTGCTGATCAAGCGCAGAGCACTATTTGTCTCTTAAGGGGAGGTTCATTTGGGTTTGGCCGAAAATCGTGCAAACTTTGCGAATTTTTTGTGGGAAAACGAAAGAACATACAAAGTTGGGCTAGTTAGTTTTAATGCATTATACATTGATGACTACAAAATGCTTTTTGTTTTTGAAAAATTCAAAATGGCGGCTTCAAAATGGCGGATCTCGTCGGCCTCTGCGCACGAAACAATGTCCCCTGCTGTCAATTGTAGGGCCTTCCGTGGTAAACTGAAATGAGTAACTGTCATATATTATGAAAATACATAAAAATTTCCTACGGCATATACCTAACCTAATAGAACAAGGCTTATCATTGACAAGAGTTCTCAAAACATGGTTCCGAGAAAAACGCGTTTAAAGTTTTTGGCGTGACATCGGTCCGTTCGTGACATGGGTCCGTTTAAGACGCTCTAACTTGAAAAATACGTATTGTATCGGAAAATCCTTTGACACATATATTCTACACATGTGTAGTTTTCATTTTATGTAAAAATAAAAAATCTATTTTTTCGACAAAATCTAAATGAACCTCCCCTTAAATGCTGGCAGAGTTGCCAGTCTTCTTGATATGTTGTCTTCGATTTGAGTAAAATTGAAAGGAATTGCTTATGCGGAACTTCTGACAATTTTCAATTTTGAGTTGAATTTTTCTATGAAGAATAGCAAAATGAAGTGATACAGTTGTGTATCCTTATTCCCGGATGTTTTGTTGCCCGCATTCCTTTATTCGTATTCCTAGATGCTTCGGCAAGTAGAATGCTGACTATATAAGGATTCCTCACTGTGTACATTTAGATTTTTGTACACAACGCATTTGCATTATCGTTAGGATTTTTTTTTAACATTTCAATAAGGCGGCATTAACATTAGTTCAATAATGCGAAGCTTTTGAAAAAAAAAATACTCCAACCGTCGTGAATAAATGCTCATCTTTGCAAACAAACTAAATCAACTGATGAAGAAAACATTACCCTTATTGTGTTGTTGATTTGTGTTTGTGAGCATTTATTTTCTTGATTCAAATCACTGTTTACTAAAGCAGTTTCACCCTATTGAAGGACTTTCCGCATTCCACGTGGACAGCTTTTGCGATCATCCCTCCCCCTGTGTCGACAATCATCATACATTGGATTCTTTTTACGCAGATTTCTGAATAAACGCGTTTTTTTTGCGGATTCCTGAATTTGAGCGGTTTTTACGTGGATTTCGGAATGTACGCGGTTTCTTTTACGCAGATTTCGGATTTTACGCGGTTTTTTATGCGGATTCCGGAATTTGCACGATGTATTTTTACACGTTTTTTTTACGCGACTCGTATCCCTGCGACTCCATAGTATTTTTTAATTTGTATGGACCGTGGAATTTGACAAACACCCCCCCCCTTCCCTTCATGGGATGTACATTCCATTAAATTTTTATACCGATTAAAAGCGAAAATTCGAGGAAATTCTGCACTTGGGTTCTTTTGTGATATTGAGGTAAATACATATTCGTAATCTGCAATAAAAATGAATTCCAAATCCAAAATTTCATCAAATTTTTTTGCACTGGAACTCTTTTTTTTTAACAAGTACGATTACATTAGCAAAAATCACCAAACAGTGAAGCTATTATTTTACTTTAAATATTGATTAAACATCATGATAAAAGTCTATGGGATCGAAAAAAAATGTCATTGTGCCCGGAAAACGAAGCTCTCGAAGATGATGTATAATAACCGATAATTTTTAAAAAATTATAGAGCCCAATTACACCTGTTTGTATTAAATGCAATGCAACAACCGCACCAAACATATGTACATGTACAGCAAATCCATCTAGACTCGTGGTTTCAATGTCAGTAAATTCGCACGTCTACGTGTTCTTCACCATACACCTAACAGTGGCAGGTGGTTGGTCTTTATGCCAGCTACATCGCCGTGAAGCATAAGGTTTAATACTCGCTGCTGCAGCCTTGAAACGACCTTGGGGTTTCCCTCTACCTCCACGCTGATCATTATCGCATCCAATGAGTAGGGAGCAGTTTGCCGGTCGTCGTGGGTCTCCAAATCTAACGGTGACTACTGATGCAAACGTGAGTCAAATTGTTGTGTCCACCTACGCCACCCTGGCATTGCCCTAGTTGTTCCAGTTGGCAACATTTATACAGTAGCAAAGGTGTATGCAGTTGCGGCTTTGCTCTTTCCAATTGAAATACTCAGACTTCAATATAACTTACATTGAAGTGTCGAACGACGTATAGTAGTAAATTTGATAAAAGTACGTGATTGTTGTGAATAATTAGGATGATTGAACCGGGCTTGAGTGAATTTCTTTTCGAGCTTCCTTCGTGGTGATCCGATAGTGGTGGTTTGTTATATGGAAATTCAATTGTGGATTGGTGATTTTTATTTTTAGTATAAAAGGACTTGACAGCCAACAAGAGGTATGTCAGTTAGCTTTTCACTTTTCGTTTGAACAGTGTGAAATACCCCCTTCTAAGCTTTACAATGAGTTTGCTTAAAGTAAGTGGATTTGAATAGTGTGTTTAGAACATTGTAGAATTTAAAGTGCAATAATTAATCGAGTGCATTGATTTGAATTTTTAGGTTGCCGTTTTCGCCGCACTAGCTCTGTGTGCTAGCGCCGAGCCTAAACCAAACCCGGGAGTCCTGGCCGCTCCAGTAGCTCCAGTGGCTTACTCAGCTCCATTTGTTCAGGCTCCATTCTATGCTAGGGCTTATGCTTCACCATTCGCCTATGCCGCTCCAGTTGCCGCTGCTTACACCGCTCGTGCAGCCCCAGTTGTTGCTGCTTATAGCGCTCCAATCGTCGCTGCTCGTGCTGCCCCAGTCATTGCTGCTCGTGCTGCCCCAGTCATTGCTGCTCGTGCTGCCCCAGTCGTTGCCGCTGCTGCCCCAATTGTTGCTGCTCGTGCTGCCCAAGTGGTTGCTGCTCCCGTTCAGGCTGAGTTCACCGATGCTTACCCACAGTACCAGTATGCTTACAACGTTCAGGATACTCTGACCGGTGACTCCAAGACTCAGGAAGAGACTCGTGATGGCGATGTTGTCAAGGGATCGTACTCCCTGATCGAACCTGACGGCAGCCGTCGTATTGTCAACTACTACGCTGACCCAATCAACGGATTCAACGCTGTTGTGCAGAAGGATGTCCCAGTTGCCGTTGCCACCCCAGCCGTTGCTGTGGCCGCCAAGACCGTTCTTGTTTAAGCAGATAGCACGTCTCCGTTGTAGCGATGATTAGAATCTGTCTAAATATGCTGTGTATATAGGACCAATTCCCGAGTGTAAATAGTCATTAGGACTCCAGTGCCACCATCATTGTGCAACTTTAAGCAATCACTCATCTGTACATAATTTCCACTGCAAAAAAACATTTGTTGCTAAAAGACATGCACATTGTACAGCCTCGTTTTAGATAATAAAATCAAAATTGCAACGCTTGTTAAATGAAGAATATTTGTTTGATAGTTTATGAATCGACCTTTCCCTTGCATTTTGATTTGAACTACGCTTTCATAGATCCACTCAAAGAAGCGATTTCACTTAAACAAAAAACTCGGTTAAATTAACAATTTTGCTCCTACCATGATCATTCCTTCCAAAATTAAGCTTATTAATTGTGTTTGTTAGCTCATGCTACACTGGTATTTGAATTTTATATAAGAATTACTAATCTAATCTAATTTAATCTAACACCAACACAGCCAGTTCTTGAAAGCATCCTGGAAAATGATGGATATACTTCCATAATTTTTCTTGTCTATTTAATACATGTTTCACATCAAAGATGCGTCACACATATTCAAACGGCCAGGTCTACTGTGCAGCATTAAGGGGCAAGATGATTCAGAAAACATCGGGCCTGTTTAAAGCGAAGATTTAAACACGATAGTTTAGAATCCAATAAATGGATGAAACGTGGACATCTCGTACCGTACGTTCCGATTTTGGTAATTATATGATTGGTTGGTTGATGGAAGCATGAAAGCTAGAAAGGTTAAGTGATGCTCCATTTTCTTCTGACGGTTGGGACATAAGCACTAACTCTTGTCCTAGCCTTTTATGGCTAGCGCTATAGCCCCATTACTCGCTTTCTAAAAAGAGAAGAGGGAAAGAAGAAGGACAAAGCGGACAAAGGGAAAAGGATTATGTAAACTCTATGAACATAACAAATATTTTTGATTTGAAATATACAATTATCACGACTAGGGTTCGGTGGTAGATCTTATACCAGGTACTCACCACAAAAAGGTGATCTCCCAATGTTACTGGTTTGAAAAGATAAAAATTACAAAATGGAACGAACTCACCAAGTTTAGCCAATTGAACCTGAATGCTGCCTAACATGTGTTGATGTAGAAGTCCAAATTGTAGACGAAGCTTGACGAAGATCAACATGAACTAGTCCGGTTTATGGTAGTTGCGCGGAATGGTAGTCTTCCGTCGATTTGAGATAAACAAATGATGTATGTAGTCGATTTTTGATGGGCATTGGCAAGCCTATTCGTGGCCAATAGTCAGGTTCAACGCTGCGACTCAACGAATGATGGAACTAATTATGGGACGCCTCGTGGAGGTTCTACTTGGCTTCGGAACAGCTTCTCAGTGTCATAATAGGGATTGAGGAACTAGAAATTGTCTCCTGGGCCTTGTTTTGTCCAGTTCAGCAACCGATTATAGATAAAAAAAAATCCACGGAAAAAACAAACGTCAGGTTCGATCAAGATTCGCTTACAATTATGTGGGATTCATCATCAGAGGATGTAAGTGGAGACCGCATGAACCGAGAATGCGATATACACGGTAAGAAAAAAGTACCCAAAATTGAGTTCCTTTCACTCATCACGTGGCTTCCGTGGGGCTAGGTAAAATTAAGTTAAAGAAGAAAACTCAATTTTGAGTAATCCTGGCGTTGACCAAGTTGAAAAAAAAATAATAAAACGGAGCAGACTGGAAACGAACCATGGACGTTGAGATTACGGGGCCCGTGTGTTGACCACTCCTCTATCAACGCTTGTGAAAATGAAATAGTTAAAGGCGCATAAAAGCAACCTCAATGAAAATAAACTTATATTTGAGTTCATTTATTATTACTCAATAGTTGAGTAAATTTTAACCAACGCCGCTTTTCTGATTCACTCAACGGCGGACCTCAAATGATAGAACCCAACGTTGAGTTTTTTTTTAACTTAATTTTGAGTATTTTTTCTTACCGTGTACCTAGCTGCGGTCCAATGCAAGACAATTGGAGACCGAAAAATGAAGAGTGTATTAGTGAGGTAAATTAATTATGTCGAAAAAAATAGGAAAAAGGTTGCCGACTGGACTCGAACAACGAACGTTGCGATTATCAGACCTGTGCTTTCTCTACTGCTCTCTCCATGCTTCTGAAGAAGGATAGCCTAAAAGCGAACAAGAAGCGCTCATTTCCTCTCACACTCGACTTCGTATGCTTTTTTCTGCTGGAGAGATTCGAGGCAAGTGTGTGCGTCGTTCTACCATGTTATACATAAAAATCAAGGCAAATGCTTGCTTGTGTAGGTGAAAGCACAGACAGAACACGAAATAAAAAAGGCAAAAAACCATTACATCGCCTGCAAGGTCAACTTCTAACATTCGCTGCGATGTTCATATACAGAGGATGATAGGAAATGGAACTAACATTCATTCTAATAGATTTTTGGTTTGCGTGTGCACTTTCTTGCAGTAAACGTGATCGAATTCGAACCAAAATTTGCAAGTTTGTTTACAATGACTTACCTTACCAATCAGGCTATGGCCTTGCTATCCTCTGCTGCCCGAAGAAGTCGTCTCCACTCTACTCGATCCATGGCCACACTTCGCCAGTATCGTAGTCTGCGATAGGTCCGCTGGTCACCAATCCACCTTGCCCGCTGCGTGCCTTCTTCTTGTTCCTGTTGGGTCGCTTCCGAGAACCATTTTCACTGGGTCGCCGTGCGGCATTCTTACGATGTGCCCAACCCACCGTAGTCGCCCAATTTTCGCAATGGGGACTGATACAATTCGTGGTTCATTCGCCTCCTCCACGATCCGTCATTCATCTGCACTCCACCGTAGATGGTACGCAACAGCCTCTGTTCTAAAACAGCGCGTTGGTCAGCCACGAGCATAGTCCACGTCTCGTGTCCGTACACCCAACCGGGGGATGTAAGATTCGCTTACAATTATGTGTGATTCATCATCAGAGGATGTTAGTAGAGACCGCATGAACCGAGGATGCGATATACCTAGCTGCGGTTCGATGTAAGAAAATTGGAGACCGAAAAATGTGGAGTGTATTAGTGAGTGAAATTAATTATGTCGAAAAAAAAATAGAAAAAAGGTTGCCGACTGGACTCGAACCACGGACGTTGCGACTATCAGATCTGTGCTTTCTCCACTGCTCTCTCCATGCTTCTGAATATGGTTAGCCTAAAAGCAAACATGAAGCGCTCATTTTCTCGCATGCTCGACTTCGTATGCTTTTTCTGCTGGAGAGATTCGAGACAAGTGTGTGCGTCGTTCTACAATGTTCTACAATGTGCGTCGTTCTACAAGATTACTGGTATAGTCGAAAGCGTAGATGGAAAACGAAATAAAAAAAGACAAAAAACCATTACATCGCCTGCATGGTCAATTTCTAACATTCGTTGCGATGTTCATGAACAGAGGATGATAGGAAACGGAACTAACATTCATTGTAATAGATTTTTGGTTTGCGTGTAGAGGACCATCGGTCTAATCAGCGTCTTGTAGATAGTCAACTTAGTGCGGCGACGAATTTTATTTGACCGGAGCGTGCTCCGGTGTCCAAAGAAGGTACGATTCCCTGCCATAATGCGTCTAAGAATTTCTCTGCTGGTATCATTTTCGGCGGTCACCAGGAGCCCAAATACACGAACTCGTCGACCACCTCGATTTCGTCACCGTCAATCTGAACTCGGGGTGGGAGGCTAACATTGTCTTTCCTAGAACCTCTTCCTCTCATGTATTTCGTCTTCGATGCGTTGATGGCAAGTCCAATCCGCCTAGCTTCAGCCTTCAGTCTGATGTACGTTTCCGCCATCGTCTCAAAGTTCCGCGTCATGATGTCGATGTCATCGGCAAAGCCAAGAAGCTGGATGGACTTCCTGAAGATCTTGGCACTCGTGTCTATCCCAGCTCTTCTGATTACATCTTCTAACGCTATTAAAGACACGAAAGTCCATCACCTTGCCGTAACCCCCTTCGAGATTCAAAGGGACTCGAGAGTGTCCCCGATACTCGAACAACGCACATCACTCGATCCATCGTCGCCTTGACCAATCGCGTCAGTTTATCCGGAAATCCGTACTCGTCATGTCTACAATGAATCAAGCTCCAAATTGGCATAGATGTGCTCAATTCAGCCTAATTTTCCTTACTATTCCCTGCGATTGCAAGGACGGTGCCCCAGGTGATAATGATGATATATAACTTTAATGTGATACTTGTTTTGCAAATTTGGTTGTGTGGGAAAAATCACTAATCCCAAGTGGTTTTTCGCGCGAACACACGATATTTTCTGCTCTGCTATGCTATGGTCAGCTTAAAAAATAGCAAAATCGTTAACATGAAAAAGAAAAAAATGCCACCGCACGAGGAGATGTCCCTGGCAAGCTTAACCATTCACCTATGCCAAAAAAAAAAAATAGTTCACTTTAAGTTGAAATTATTTTAAAATAAGGGCGGATCTCTCATGGGAAGCAGTTATTGTAAAAATCTACCCATGAAAAGGGGTATATTTCGATGTTAGAGATGTTTATACCACGAGATCCTCGCCATGTAGAAAACGTTTCTTCAGCAATGATGTTTTAAATACTTTTAACTTGCTGAGATACCGTGTGCTAAAAATCTCGCTAACTTAGAATTAAAAAAAAAACTGATATACTGAAATTTTAATTTGGGTTCAAATTGGTCAAGTATTTAGAGACATATTTCATCGCATATTTCACGATAGAATTAGACAAATTAATTGCCAAATAAAAAAGTTCTAGTCAGTCAAAGTAACCTGGCGTCAAATTTACCCCAAGGTACTAATAAAGGGTAAAGTTCATTTTAGCCGACAAATTCGCCCGGAAATTGATGATTTGGTACAGGATCTGCAGTTGTTGCCGCAAATACTCAAACTTTCACCACAAAGAAGACGATGGGCTTAAAGCAAATGCCTGAAAAATTTGGGAAACACCTTTTTCAACTCATCTGTATCAAATTCATGGAAAATATTGGCCAAAAATATAAACCAAGAAGAAAATTGCATTTCAATGTGAAGCACGCCAGTAGCTGTTGAATAAAACAAATGTTGCAAATAAGGGCACGAAATTTAAATGTGTTTTTTAGTGGACCATTTGTTTTAGAAGACATTCAAACAAAATATCATACTAAACTCAATATTATATTGCTCTGGCAATATAATTTTATACAAAAAATTGCATTCTGGAAAAACTTACTTGTACTACAGCAGTCCATTGCAAGACCTGGCATTACATTTCTTGTAAAAATAATTGAGTTTATCCTTCAAACAATTGCACGAATACTAAAGTTCCTCTTTTCAACCAGTAGTTTACTAAAATCATAATTTTCATCATTTTCTTCTATTCTATAACCAGTTCTACAGAGGACGAATATTGGCGCCTTTCACATCACGAGAACATCGTTCGCATGCGACTTAAGTTGGAGCCCGACCTGAACCACGATCCACATACTGCCGCCTCCAATATGCGGGACAACACGACTAGTACATCCCAAAGTCAGCGATTGTCGGCTGAATTAAGTTCAACGATAGCCCCGGCTGCACTCGGTGACGAAAGTGTCGATGAAGACATTCTTCTTCTGGAGGAAGAGATGCGAAACAATGTGGAACCACAAGTGTAAGTAACTCTCTGCGATGGTTGATGAGAAATAAACCTCATTATGGTTGACATTTTTAGTCCTGAAACCTCGGGAAAAGAGAAAATCGTCATATCTCAGGAATGTGAGTTGATAACACTTATGACCAGAGTCAAAGGAAGACTGGACCTAACAACTAATCAGATAGTATTCTCTGAAATCAGTGCCATACGAGACGACGGACAGCGCCATGATTTCAAATTTCCGATCAGTCAATTGAGAGAGCTCCATTTGAGAAAGTTCAATCTCCGCAGAAGCGCTCTGGAAATGTTTCTAATAGACCAAACTAGTTATTTTCTTAATTTTACTACCAAAACTCGAAATAAGATTTTTACTAAAATTCTAAGCTTACAACCACCCAACATATTGTACGGTTCTGGACGATCACCGGCTGAATTGCTACGATCGTCAGGTCTTACGCAAAAGTGGGTCAATAGAGAAATATCTAACTTTGAATATTTAATGCATCTGAACACAATCGCTGGTCGTTCATACAATGACCTTAGTCAGTACCCAGTGTTTCCGTGGATACTGGCGGACTATACTAGCGATATCCTTGATCTGAACGACCCGAAATCGTTCAGGGATCTTAGCAAACCAATTGGCGTAGTCAATCCAAAGAACGAGCTCGAAGTGAAAAATAAATTCGAAAGCTTCGAGGATCCTTCGGGAATGATCCCCAAGTTCCATTACGGTACGCACTATTCCAACTCTGCGGGAGTTCTACATTATCTGATACGTGTGGAACCCTTCACCTCGTTGCATATCGAACTGCAAAGCGGTCGATTCGATGTCGCGGATAGACAATTTCACTCTATTCCTCAAACCTGGAAGCTTTTGATGGACAATCCAAATGACGTAAAAGAGCTGATCCCAGAGTTTTTCTACTTCCCGGAGTTTTTGAAAAATATGAACCAATTTGACCTCGGAGTTCTTCAACAAACAAAAGAGCGAGTTGATGACGTTGTGCTACCAACATGGGCTAAATCAGCGGAGGATTTCATAGCCATCCATCGGCGTGCACTGGAATCTGAGTACGTCTCACAGAATCTACACCATTGGATTGATCTGATATTTGGATGCAAACAAAAGGGACCGAAAGCTGTCGATGCATTGAATGTGTTTTATTATTGCTCGTATGAAGGTGCAGTTGATCTGGATAAAATAACGAACCCAGTAGAAAGAGAAGCTGTGGAAGGGATGATTAACAATTTTGGACAAACTCCGTCACAGCTTTTAAGAGAGCACCACCCGAAACGATTATCCCAGGATGAGCTGACAATGAAGTTGCTGAAATTGGAGCTGAAAAAACCCGATCTTACTTTGATCCTTGACCGTGTCAATTGTATCCACTGTGAGCTTTCCACTGACAAAGATCCCGTTGTGTATTTGAGCACACCACGAAGCCCTCCCCGGTCGTTTTTGCAAACTAGTCCGGATATGCTCATTTCGGTCACGAAAAACGGTATTCTCGGTTGCAACAGTTGGATGTCGTTTGACAAAGAGAAAGGATTTCTGCTTGAAATCGATGCCACTACCTCCAATCTGAAGTAAGCCATAACTGCCCTGCATATTAATTTCAGTGGTGATTAATTTACATAATATTTTGTTTTGTTTCGTTGAAATTCATAGAAATCGCAAGAAGCTAGTCGGTCCATTCCATCCTTCGATAAATTTGAATTCCAATCTATTTGCTGTAAGTGTCGATGGCAAATATTTGTATGCCGGTGGCATTTGGGACAACTCAGTTCGTATATTCAATATGGCACGAGGAAAGGTGGTTGCTTCGGCGATTCATCATTTTGGTAGGCCCTATTACGCTGCAGTTTTGCGATTTAATATTTAACTTCCGTTTTCGCCCACCTAGACGTAGTAACATGTGTAGCATTGGACAGCTGTGGTTCATATCTGGTGACCGGTTCCAAGGACTGTACCTGCATTATATGGTCAGTCAACAATGCTAGTACGAGTGGCGCTTCCAGTGCCTCGAATCTGCAACCCAACACGGCAGCAATGAATCAAAATCTGGCGGGGAACGTGGTTGGAAGTGCGAACGTAATTCATCTCACTAACAATCTAACGCCGAAGCCAGTTCATACGTTATACGGGCACGACGGTCCGGTTTCCTGTGTGTCGATCATGACAGAGTTGGATATTGTTGCCTCAGGGTCACTGGTAAGTAACTGGTAAATTATGTGATTAAAAGCCACCTCCTCCTTCTATTGATTGTCCGCAGTTTATTGACAGTTATGCGTAAGTTTGGTTATCTATTCAATTACATGTTATCTGGTAATAACGGAGTAGCAACCGCGGGTGGTCAATCATGCTTATGCTCATGCTCGCGGCCTTTTTGACTTTTTTGTACCATTTTTGATGTTTCAATATTATTATGAGAGTTGTCGTTTTCAAGAATGACAGAGTTGTCAGGTGGTTTTAGCGATTTTAAGGCCAATTGAACGTTTTTGAAGCTTACTGTGTTGCCTGGCTCATAACGATTATACGTTGTATCTGCGGGATCGTGATAATAAAAAAATGAGTCAAAAGCATTCGAATGAAGAACAACTAACTAGAATTGAGATTATTTACATTTTGTAATATTTGGTTATGTTATATATTTTATGCTTCACTATACTGCCCCTTTCAGCATAGTTGTCCCATTCGTTAAATCAGCAAGCTGCGAAAACGCTGTTGAAGTTTTTTTTTCATAGTACTCAAAATTAAGTTATTTTCACTCATCTCGGCACTATAGTGCAGGAACCCAAAAGTAGTTAAAGCGGGTCAAAGTTATTTTCATTTACTTGTGTGCAGTTCGTATGGAATTTTCCACTGGCTTTTTAACCAAAAGTAAGTTAGTTGTACCCAACAGTAGTAAAATATGATTATACTCAACGTTGGGTTCCCACACTTTACTACCTCTGTTGGGTGGTTTTGCTCCTCCGTTATTGACAACAATAGAAGGAGAAAAGGAGACAAACTAGTCAAAAGTAGGTAAAAGTGAACTTTCCGTTGGGTACTTTTTTCTTACCGTGTATGTGTCCCATCCATAGTTTTGGTATTTTTCGTGACATTTTTTGAACAAAGTAAGAAGCTTTGCGTGTACATTGTAAATGGTACTTGACAACTGATTTCAATGTATAACTCATTTTCATCAAAATTCTAATGGGACTGTTATGCCGCACAGGGCAGTATATAGTTTATTCACATTAGAAGTTGCATGACTTGACTATGTATGAATTCACTCTACATATTTTTTAAATGCTGGGACGGGAGGGAGCATCAGGACATCATTGATGATACAACTGGACAATTGGGTGGATTGTCAACCGGAGTCTTCGAGGGAATGTATACTATCGTTAAAGATACACTCAAGTCTTTTTTACAGGTTTTTTTTAACAACACGGTTTTTTGAAATAACGCGAAGAGCAAAACAATTCTAAGTGTTTTCTGAGGAATGAACTTAGCCAAAAATCAAACTTGGAAGTGTACTTTGTGTGGGTTCACCGCCCAGACAACCAGAAATCGTATAACAATGTACACACAGTATCGTAAATTGCTACAGTTTAAGTCAAAATCGCATATAAGAATGGCATACCTCGCATTATGTTTAAGTTAAATCGTATAGAATGCAAATTTCCGACCTATATGCGATGACTCATTTTTCCGTCGTACTGTATCCCAAATTAAATCGGATTACATCGTAAGACTTTTCAAAATGAATTTGTTATTACAGATTAAATCGTGTATGATGTTAAATCAACTCGTTTAAAATTAATTTAAAATATGCACGTATATGGCCTCCACTTTTGTACGTATAAGCCATTTATTTGCATTATATACGAATTGTTCGTTTGTATATATGTTTGTATATCACGAAAACAACTTTGAATATACGTGCATTCTGGTTGCCTGGGTGGATAATATGGGTGCCGGAGAGGCTGGAAATCGATGGTTGATGCCGTTTTGGAATCCAAGATGTCAACTTCCGGTTTATGATGAAATTTCGAATACCCTTCAAAATGGGTATTTTCGGAACGAGGATGACGTATAGAGGTCAGAAATCGATTATTGATGCTATTTTGGAATCCATTATGGCGATTTCCGGTTTATGAAAGTGCCAAATGAATGTTATGCAAAAAGTTTTTAAGTAACGTTTATTTTCCATAATCTGTCATTAATCTTATTATATTTACAGGAATTGTATACATTTGATACTGAACAACATTTGATACCAGCAACTTGGTTGTAGAATGCATGTGAGGTTTTCAAGCAAGTGGTAATGACCTCAATAGTGTCGTAACTGGGCATCATCCTACTCGAGATTTGGCTGGATTGCGCTACTTATTCAAATAAGAGGGCTTTCCGTGCCAAGTTCTCGATCGTAGTAGGCTGCTGGTGTTTGTCTTGGTTACCGTCGACAGAGAGCTCGCTTGGGGACTCTCGCTTCCAGAAGAAGGAGAGGGCTCGCTTGCTCGGTTGGTTGCTTGACTGATTTGCTGGTGCTGCCGGGTTGCCTTGGCTACCGTCGTTCGGTCGGTTGGCTATCTAGCTGTTGTTCCTTCCTGTTTTCGAAGTAGATGCTACCTTTTCAGCGTCAGAATGGAGAATGACACACATGGACAGTACACCCTCTTTAAATAAATGAAGGCTTTTGCACTTCAACCAATCAGAGATTTCGAAAGGGAATTCAATCTCATTAGGGAAGTTCAAATATTCTTATTATTAGGGAAGTTCAAATATTCTTATTACTATTATTATTATGATAATTAGTAATGTCGATTACCAGTTGATTAATTTGGGCATGACTTTGTTAATAGATCCATATTTTTCTATTCTGGATATTAAAACACAATTATTATTTTCCAATTTTATTTTATTCACTCATCGCACCTTTATACTACAAATAGTACCTAGCATAACTGGAACTGGGACATAACTGAACCTGGTTCACTAGTGAAACAGAGAAATTTAATTTGAAGCTTCAAATAAAGGGTCTACTTTAGCTGCTCTTCCGATGTGTATTGGGATTCCTAACAACGGTGTCAAATTTGAACAAATTTGGTTATGATCTGGATTTGTTGGATAATTTTTAATTTTGTATGGGAAAATGTATGGGAATCGAAACGGACCTATTCATTATTATTTACATGCCAAAATTTAAAATAATCATCAAATTTCGGAAATAGATGAGGAATACCGATGAAAAAAAAAAACAGATTTGTCGAGAACTGCAAATCGATTAGACTTCTGAGAAAAACGTTATTATTATATTAATTTAGACCTATTGCCACCGACGATCCGACATGGCACAGGAGCATTTCGTTTATCTACAATTCGAATTGTCAATCGAACGATTCGAACTTTCAAACGGGCGATCAGATCTTTCAAATGAGGTGAGACGCAAAGCAAGGCAATATCAATTATACGTGGGTTCGTGTCCTTGCTCATGGTATGACGCGATCAGATGAGTAGATATCGGAAGTGTTTAACGTATTTTAAATATGGCGCACGAATTTGAAAGTAGCTTGAATGAGCTGTCACGTCGGTTCGTCGGTGCTATTGCCCGACGCATACCTTAAGGCGTATATGAGCTTGTAGGTACGTGAGGAATAGTTGGTCTGTAGTGAAAGATTAGTAAGTTTTTGTACAAATATCATCTCGATTTGCAGTCTTCGACAAAGTTGTTGTGTATAGTATTATCTATCTTATTTGGTGAAATTAGAGCAATGTTTGTTAAATCAGGATTATAACAAATTTTTTTCAAATTTGCACAATTGTTGAAGACCCCAATACGTATTGAAAGAGTTGTTGGAAACAGGAGGTCGTAAAGTTGACCCACCCTAGTGTATATTCTTTATAGCTTACTATTTTGCCAAGTTGTGCACTAATCAGCCCTAGGACTATATTTATAAGCATTAACTAACTGTTTATATTCGCACATAGCGCTACCTATCTGCGCTTACCTTTAACTTGAGTGACACGCTTTTTTGCGTACATCATACCATACCAAAGCGTTAATGATCAAAGGCTCGCAATGAATCATTAATTTTCTACGATTAAAATTTAATATTCTATGATTAATGAATAAATCAATATTCAAAATAATTGATGATTATGATTAATTAATAAAACATTTATTATTCTATGAATAATGATTATGATAAAAGAATAAATCTAAATTAACAATTAAAAAGTCGAAAGAAAGAAGGTACAAAGGAACATTATATCAAAAGAGATAATAGTTCGAATGGCCATTCGGCTGAATGCCATTTGTCGGCCAAATGTAGTTTATTTTCGAAATTATTTAGCACCACTAATATGGCTAGGAAATTTTAGATACCGTTTGAACAAATTCAGATAAATTAGAATTTATAAATTTTAAAACCATGTTTCCTTCTTTTAATCTCATATAATCTCATACCCAAGTAACAATTTTGGTTTTATGAGGGTTCTGGAGACCATGATTTAGACTTGTAGCATGCTTTAAAACTTCAATAAAACTTGCAATGTTACTTGGGTATTTAAGAAGATCTTTTTATACATATCAGTCTTCGTTCAAACGGCATTAGACCAAACGGCGTGTGACCAAATGATCCGGAAGCAAACGAAGATAAGGTCGAAAGGCTCAGAGATCAAAAAGCCAAAAGCTGTATTCATGTTTTTCCTTCTTTGACATCTTCTTCTTCTTCTTCTTCGCATTTCAAGCTTATTGCTTATCGCATATTAGCTTATTGCGTGCTCTCAACTTAGTGTTCTAGATGCACTTCCACAGTTATTAATTGAGAGCTTTCGATGCCTGTACCATTTTCGCATTGATATAATTGTGTGGCAGGTCCAATCATACTTCTATGCCCAGGGAAGTCGAGAAATTTTCCAACCCGAAAAATTCCTAGACCGGACCGGGAATCGAACCCAGCCACCTCCAGCATGGTCTTGCTTTGTAGCTGCGCCTTTACCGACTGAGCTAAGGGAGGCCCCAATCACCCCCCCCCCCTTTGACATCTATTCGTTCTTTAACATTTGGTTTTCAGATGACTTGTTTCTTTATAGAACATTAATTTTACTATAATATCGAATGAAATTATATAACTCTACTGTCTATTCAATTTTCCATTCTTAGCTAGACGTTTATTCTGATAAATGGATAAGGTTTTGGATTTTGATTTTTTGTCCATTCTTAGTCTCTTTTGAATTTCGTTGCTTTTGACCTTCTGTCCTTTCGACTTGACCATTTTCTTAGATTTTAAAGTAAACTTCACAAAATGTGTTTATCTGCAAAAATGTTAGCCCTAATATAATGCATTTATGTACGGAAGTTATCCCATATTTTAGATGATCCTGATAAATGAAAAATCATCGAACTTATTCATGTTTATATTACATGAAAGGCCTGTGAATTTAGTTGAATAATGGGCATAACATATATGTATTTCAAAAAAAAAAAATTTAGGCGATGTACTGCATTGAATTTTGAAAATTCAGTTATTGAAGCATTTTTAAGAATAAAAATTTGATAGAAATTTTGAGGAAAATTTAAAGGACATTGATGGGTCCATACCAATGTGTTCAGAAAACTGTTCTAAAGTAGCTCTAGGAAGAACTCTAAGAGAGTTTTGACAAGAACTGCAAGGCATTTTTAGAAAGAATGAATAACACCAGGAGAGTTGTGTTTATAATTTAAGGATATTTTGTTTTAGTTTTGGCTCCACAGTCTTAATTAGTGTAAACACCTATATGTTTTGTCTACACACCAAAAAATTCTGAATTTTACTGGCGATGTAAACATCCATGCATGCAAACATTCATACATGTAAACTTCCTTTTCACGTAAATTAGCAACTTGCAAGAAATGTTGCAAACAAAAGTGGACAGTTGCATACAATATATGGGATATTGCATGACATGTCTCATAAATTTACACGATCTATAATCTAAATTTGTATGATATATGACGCTCCATTTATGTGCATCATAGTAACGGAAATTTACACTACTTTTTTTAGCTGTGTATCCAACATTATCAACAGAACATAATCCTTCACAATCGAATTACCCTTATAATTTTAGGTAGCTCTGAGGGGTATTCCATGTTCCATGTGAGGAAGATTCATGGTCCTATTTGAATGAGTATTTCTAATAAGTTCTGATATTAATTTCATAAGTGTTCTATTGGGTGATTCAAAAGAAATTATTTGAACACCTCAAAGGATATTGAATTCTAAAGGATAGTTTCAAAATATTTGTGTGTCAAGTTTCAATGAAATTCTGAGAATAATTCCAAGTTACTTTTAAAATAATTTGTATCATAGCTCCTAGGTAATTTTGAGCAGAAATTCAATATTTTCTGAGGTGACTTGCATTGGGATTCTAAGGATAGTTCATACGATTTTCAAATAGAATAATGGATGAAAACTTCAGAGAATTCTTGGGAGAGTCACAAAAGTCGAAAAGAATCTTGAAGTGAAATTAGATAAATCATAAAACCAGCACTGCGTGATCTGAAAAATTTCTTGACCGATGAATGATTATTTATTACTTAATGTCCAATGATTATAGATTGAAGCATGATAGGATTAAATAATAATGATTACATTATGTGATTATTAATCTCTAAAAAACATGATTTGTGATCATGATTAATTATAAATCATTAATCATGTTTCATTTTATGAATAATCGCTAACGCTCTACATCATATCATAGATTTGCTGTTCTACAATTTGGATGAACATTTGATACGGAAAAATATATTAATTTTATTTTTTCTTACAGGATGGAACCGTAAACGTATACACAGTAAAAGAAGGTCAATTTGTTAGGACAATAAACCCAGTAGGTTGTACGGGTACTAATATAGAGATATCTTTCATCATCCTATCCTATCAAGGTATTGTATGATTGACACGTTTTGAAATTCTTTTTTAAAGCTAACGCATCACCGTAAATAGGTCACATTGCATTATCAGCACTAGACGACACGTCGCACTCGGTCCATGTATTCAGTATTAATGGTGTAAATTTAGGTTCCAAGTATGTTTCCGGTCGAGTTACAGGACTGACCACTGCAACCGATTATTTGGTTGTATCCGACGACGCTGGAGACCTCACGATGAGCCGTTTATATGGGTTTGATTTCAGTGTTTTCGCTTATTTTATTTTCAGTCTAACATTTGATTTTTTTTTTCAGTTTGAAACCCATATTTGACATTCCGCTTCATATTCCCACCCAAACGATAGTGGCTACTGGTGGCAATACCCACCTGCTGGCACCACTCCGCGATGGAAGTTTGGCTGTGATTGGCATCATGCAACCTATTGCATACAAAAAGCACACCGTTTTGAATGTTTAATGTTTTTTTTTTATACGAAGAGAATAACGGCACCAGTTTGTCGATTGAATATTTATTTTGTACCCTTTAATATTCGCCCTCCTATGATAATTCAATATTTCCAGCAAATCAAACATAGCCTAGCCAATACAAAAGGAATCTGCGTTGTGCAAATAAACATGAGGGATTCGCGATACCTTTATATTTAGGATGCAAGGAACAAAATGCGTTGTGAAATAAGCGCTCGTTTTGCTAAGAATTAAATACGCTTTATAACACAAATTTAGACGTGAGTAGAAAAGCTTCATATAACAAATGACTACATTTTCGATTGGATATGTTAAATTGTTTAACGAAACGTGACATTAAGCGTCCGGGTGGAATAGATATAATTTTAGAAGAAATGTTGTTTCTAATGCATGTTGTTATTTTATTGACGTATAATGTATAACAATCATAGTGCAGAATAAATTACTGTTGTAATCTACCTTTTTATGAACATTTATTTGAGTAATGTATTCATCCACGACAAAAGAGTTCCACTCCTTTCATAAGGATTCTTTTGAGTTTTGACGCATCACTTCATATTTCAACATCAAGAGTGAGGGTAGGGTAAAGTTTCCCCAACATTATGGTGATGCTAGATCAACCTGGTCTATACAAGGTGTGGAATTGATTGCCTGTACGTATTGGTGCAGTTCGTTTTCCACTCGGCTTTCAGTCTGCTGCGCACGATTTGCTTCTTCCGTACGCTCAAACACGCTCGTAGTTACGTCATAACGTTTGTTTCAATCAGCGTTTGCATTGGAAATTGAATATGAATTATAGAATTTCTGTATGACACCAACATTTATGAATGATTTCCCACTGAATGTTGAGATAATGTATTGATTATTATATTAGCACACTGTATACCATGAAAAAGCAGCCTACTGGTGAGTTTTTGCCCGTTTCCAAGTAAGGAGTTGCTATAAAAATACAACTCATGCTGTTATTTCCCGGATACTTTACAAAAGCATACAAGCAAGCGCAATCATCATGCAAACATCTTAGAGATGAACCAGCCTAAGGCTGAAAGTCTCGTTAATAAAGGAAAAAAAAAAAAAAAAAAAAAAAAATCATGCAAACATATCTAGAATTTGCTGTACTTCATATTTCACAAATTTGCTTTCGAGTGCTATGACGTCGTGATCATCCTCTCCGGCAATGTTTACCTTTTTCCCTCTACCAGCACATACGTGAGGGCTAGATCTCCACACCTTGTATAGACCAGGTTGGTGCTAGATTGCGTGGGAAAGCTAAAAGCGTGTCGACCAATAATTGACGTTTGAATCTTTGTTTACAAAGCCATATAGAGGTTATTCATTAACTACGTAGACAGTTCAGGGGTTTCATTTAGCCACTTTTAAAAATTGTGTTTGGACAATTTGGTTCTTCAAAGGCAGAGTCGATGTTCTAATAAGAGTCCCGCCAAGAGTGAAGCCAGAACAGAAGTACCAATCGAACTGTCAAGCGGGGTACCAAACGAGCAAAGTAAATAAACATCATTATTCCCACAGCCAGTCAACTACAAGTATTGCACTCATTATTGACAATATTTTAGTAATTTTAGATTTTTTTTTTTTTTTGTTTATTAATTTATTTGATAAGGCTCAACCGAATTAACTTTACAGAGCCGAGGATTCTTGGTCACTTTACAATACATCTTAAAACTATAGTCAAAAGGTACAACACAATAAACACTTTATCTTCCGCTATCCAAAAAGCCTCGTCAATCAGAACTGGAGTCGCTTCCAGTGGTTTCATTGTACGGCAGTTACGCCATCGAGGGGCAGAGCGCTTCCATTGCAGCAATGGACGCAAAACGTGGTCAGCACTCACACACACATCACGAAACGGTTGCTTTCCAAAGTCGACGACGCATCGACCGAAAGAACTGCTGATGAAGAACAATGAGGAGGACCACACAATGGTTGCTGCCGAGAAAACAGACGATCGCGTAGCACACATCGAGAGTGGCCTGCTTTTGTCGACAGCCGAGTGAACACTGAGTAATTTTAGATGAAAAACATGTCTTCGCTTTATTTAGTACATTGTGGTATTTATACCCAGCACTCGTTTGAACCTTTTTCAGGTTTTATAATTGTTTTTGTCTCCCAGAAGCTCCGTTATCGACATGACATTTTACACTTCGGAATGAAAGTCATCCGATGCTAACGCAAAAAAATCTGGTTGCCGAAAAATAAATCCCAAACAGTGCTGCTTGTTTGCAACATTTTCTCTTGGCGGGACTCTTATTATAACATCGACTCTGTTCAAAGGCATTGAGGTAAATGCATATTCGTAATCTGCATTAAAAGAGCCCAAACCCAAAATTTCTTCAACTTTGATACACTGGAACTATTTTAAATAAGTACGATTACATTTGCAAAAATCACCTTATTAGCGCCCCTCGGTATCACTTTGTATAGAGATTGCTTAAGTATGATTGTGTTTTGCATGTTACACTGTTTGATATTACTAACCGCACCGTGCCTTCATTCCGGGTGGTGAGCGAACCTGAAGAAGAAGAAGAAGACCATAAACCCCTTGTTTTGTTAGTGGACCTGGTCTGCGATTCAAGGTTGGACTCTGTGATGATAAGTATCACATAACAGGTAAAGTAGGCAGCATCATCTTTATCGAAATGTAAGTATTATTGACAATAATCATAACTAGATTATAGGCAAATTTATATGATAGGTACCTGGATCAACGTTGTTTAAACATGCGCATTCAATCGTGACGGCTAATATATATATCAATTTAAGTCAAATATATATATATATATTCTATAAAATTAGTCACTATAAATTTCATGCATTGTTTCTTCTCATTGTAGACAGCGAATAACGAATAGCGAGCAAGGGCGCTATAACCTAGGCGAATACAGCATTCCCTCCGTATGGGTTACGTCCGCACACCGCTCTCTGTTGTCCTTCGACTGAGGTCGGCTGGATCGATTGAGGGATGGCAGTGGGTGGGCGGTGCCGTCCACGCTTGTACGGAGGGAGGACTGTACGCTCGAACACAAGGGGTAAATATCTGTGTTCCATCCCAGGAGATCGGACAACCAAGGAGTGTACATTAACATTCTTAGCTCTGTCACTCCCAACGATTTATATAGCCTATTTTCAAATCCTGCATACGGAGCGGTTGGTACGGTATGTCCCCGCTCTTTGATTACCTGTGGATTAAATGTTAGCCACTGTCTATACTTATTAAGTAGACATGGTAAACATTCACTTCCACAAAAATTAACTAAACGCTACACAGTAGGCCTGGCCGCTTTATTGTTTGTTTCACATCCTTGATGTGCAGCAGGCATTATTAATGACAAGAAAAATGATAGATGTATCATTTTCCAGGATTCTTTCAAGTACTGGCTGTGTATGTGTAGACTAGACTAGACTAGACTAGATTGCTTAAGTATGATTGTGTCAGTAATTTGTTTTCATCGAGAAAATTTTCCGCTATGAAGTTTTTTTTTCCCGATGAAAACATTTTGCGTATACGTATACGTGACGTAGTGTGTGTACGATAAACGTCAGCAATCTCTATGGGAGCGAGCTGTCAGTTTGTCAGTTTAGTGTCAAACAGTGAAGTAATTATTTTGCTTTAAATCTTGATTTAAAAATCGAGATGAAAGTGAAAAAAATATCGCTTTGCTCAAAAAACGAAGCTATTTCAGATGAAATATAAAAACCGATTTATTTTTCAAAATTAAAAAAAAACCAATTGTCTATGCAGGATGTAGGGAGGGGGGAGGAGTGCAATAATCCCAAAAAACTGTCTACGTAGTTAATGAACAGCCCCATACGGCTATTTGAAAATTCACCACTTTTTTTTTTACTTTTAATGATCTTTATTTCTTGTATTTGTGGGGTTTTACATGTATGAATTATCAAGTGGCACAGATGCGTCTTTTCAACTTTAGTTCATATGAAATTTTTAATTATTAATTAAAGTTCCTAGTCCTATCAGGCCTGTTTTAATGAATGAGCACCTTGGTGGGATTGGTTTGTTTTGAAAATTTTCCATTGGAACTCGTAGTACATAGTACAGCGTGCTACATGTTGCACTGGTGTAAATTCACCCTAACATGTAACGCTATTCGATGATTTATCAACATCAACATCTAGGCGCTTATAGAGTTTAAGTCGATGCACTGAAAAACGAAACTAACTCATGCGCTGAGAGACCTACGCTTTTAGAAATTTATCCATATGAATGAGTAAGAGTCATTCACTCTCTGAGTTAGTTTCGTTTTCAGTGTTCGTTGCTGTATTGCACACGGTCGGTGAGATGCTCACCAATTTTCTTTACATGCTATATGGAAAAGTACCTCACTTTACAGAAATTGCTCATCTAGCGTTCAGAATCATGGAGGCATAACTGAGATGATCGATTCTCATCATCAATTTTTTTTTAAATGACTATGCTGGATCATTTGTTGATGTGTTGCTGATTCTTTTGCTAGCCATTAGGGGTAAGCGAGGCATAGTAAGAGATGAACTAGCCTTCGGCTAAAAATCTCTATTAATACAGCTTTAAACTGCCAACAATCGATCTTATTGTATGTATATCATACAAGTAAATTTTAAGTTGACATACTTCAAGTCTCCGCGTACATCGTACGGGTTAGGTAAAAGATGTGCGTTTGACTTTAAAAACCCTTCGCTCATTTTCAACTTCTATTCAATTTTCATACTGCCGTTCTCTAACGGAACTATCCACCTACCCTCTTCTAAAGATCATTCTCTAGCTAATAAATTATCACACTAAAGCTTCAGGTTAGCATTTCCAACCAACTCTTAAAATATTGTTATTCAATAGATCTACAATACGTCCCATATAGTATGAATTTTCAACAATATAAAAACAATCAAATGAATGGTTAATGGCTCAAGTTTGTTCTGGAAAAAGTGATTGTTTGTACGGTTAAGATACATAATCCCAATCGTTCTATTGTGGATTTCCCACCGTAGATTCAATTGTGGAAACAATAAATTCTTTGGTAAATTTATCATTGTGAACAATTCCATTTATGTTAAGTACAATCAATTCTTTTGTATGGTTACAATACACTTCATTGTACCTCTATCGTTCTTTTTTTTTACGGGGAGAGCACCCTTCAACGGCTCGCTTCTTTGTCAGTAAAATGTGTTTCCTTAGCAACAAAATTAAACAATGACACCGATACCGATTATACATCAGAACCGTAGTCTTAACCACTTCAAACCAGGGAACAACGAATAGAAGATTAGGAATCACATAGATGAAGACTAACTTTCCTTGTTTCAAGATCATCCTTTTCCTTGGTCCAGGCAACTCGAGGACTTATTACTATTAATAAGGCATAAAAGGTAACAAGGATTAAGATGTGTTCCTTTGATTACAAGAAAATCCTGTTCCCCTAGTTTGAAGTAGTCAGAACTATGAATCGGT